TTTAAGAATATATTTCATAAGCAAAGTATACCCCATATCATTAATAAATTATTGTTTTATTTAAAAAATACTAAATATAATTTAATTTTCTAGCCAAATTTGCCTGGAATACGGTTTAAGGGATAATAAAATTTTGAATAACAAGTACTCATCTTAATATTTAAAAAAAAATAAATAAATAAAAAAAATAAAAATAAAAAAAATTCTAATTAAAAATCTAATTTCAAAAAAAATACAAAACAAATTAATACAACTCTTAAAAATAAAATTAAAATAATAATTTGTGAATATAGTTACAATAACAGTCTAGAATATTTTTTATAAAAAAGTATAAAGAATATAATATAAAACAATTAACAAATAGAAGAAAAAAATTGAAATAATAAATAAAGTAAAAAGAAAATAAGAAAAAAAACTGAAACATCAAGTAAAAGAGAAAAGGCAAATAAGCAAAAAATAGAAGAAAAAAAACAAGTTAAAAAAAAAATAACAAAAACATTGTTAGGATTTGTCATAGAAAAAAAAAAACCTTTTTATTATAAATTTTAAGTAGTTAGACAAGCAGCTTGAAGTAATATGATAGGTTACACTTAGATACCATTAAGATAACCAGGTAATCCTAGACTTAAATATTAGAGATATTTATGTAGTTACAAATGTAATTTCAAAACCTTAATAAAGTACTAGTATGACTGCTTATAAAAAAAAATAGCATGCAATAGTTGAATGAACTGAAATAATTTTTTATATGTTGTACACTACGTGAAGTAACTTCTGACCAGTGATGGTATACTTAATATGTAAATATCAACTAATCGGTTAACCGAATTAACTTACCCGAATACAATCGGCTTAACCGTATTATTTCTGAATCAGTCACTAATCACGTGAGCTTCGTGGCCGATGCTGCATTTCCTTATTTGGGGGGAGGTTAAAGCGTAGTACATCACGAGATTACCCGATATTGATTAATATTAGGGTTAGGGATGATTAGCTAGGTAGTCATGTTATGTACTACGCTTTAAGTGACCCCCAAATAAGGGGGTCGGCTAAAGCGGAGTGAGTTTTAGAGTTACCTTTTTGATACAGTTAGGGTTAGTAGGTTATATAGAATATCAAGAACGTAATTTATGCAGTATGATGATCATATATTGAATTAACTCCGCTTTAGCCGACCCCCTTATTTGTCAATTTGTAAACGAGTTTTCTTTCTTTAAAAGGCAAAAAAAAATGGACGTATAAAAATTTTATATAAACAGCCTAGGTTATTGACAATTTTTTTTTTAAAATGTCATCATTTGAATTAATTCTTCATGGCCTTAAACTATCCCTCAAGGATTTTATTGAAAAACATCTTCCTATCGAATCCAATTATGAGATTATTACTTCCTTTATTGGGGTTTTAACCTCAACGAATGATAGATTCATAGATGAAAGAAAGGAAGAATTACTTAAATATTTTATTCACCAATTTCTTGAAAAAAACGGAATAACTTCATTAATCAATAAAACACTCGTTTATCTTAATAAAAATAATATGCCTCGTATTTCCAATGGAAACATTGATCTTCATGGTCAATATAAACATTTAATTTTTTTGATCCAGAGTAAATGGTAAGAATTTCTTGCTAAGTACGTGTTGATAGTGAATATTTGCTCGTAAATATTCACAATGACCTTTTGACAATCGGTGTGTAAGTTACGCTGCGGTTGAGTGAGACACAGACAGGTGGTGGTCTAGGCACTGTGGGGGTCCCAGGTTGATGGCATAAATTCCAACTGCTAATTACTTGTGTAGTCGCCCGTGTAGACATTTAGATTGGTTCAATGTGTATTTATTTTATTTTATTTTTTATTTATTAGGCTAAATCTGAACAGTAAAATCCTTGTCAAAGATTTACGTGAATTCTTGAATACAATTTCAAAACAACCGGAAACATCCGTAGGCTTTCTCGTCTCGAATGTTGAGTTGAGTGATAATGCTAGAATAGAATTGGAAAAGTCTCCTATTAAGGAACGTATTTGTGTGTGTTTTTACTATGAGATCGTTGATAAAATTTTTGAATATGCACGAATCTTTGAAGAGAAACACGACAAACTTAAAAAGCAAAATGAGGAAAGGAAAAGAAAAGCCGATGAGTTGAAAGCTGAGAACAAATTTCTTCGAAAACAAAATAAAAGACTCAAAGAAGAATTCCAAAGTCAAATTAAAGAACTTGAAAGCCAAATCGTTGAACTCAAAGAAAAGACTGAAATTCAAAATCAAAACATTAAGAAAACGATTGATAATCAATACAAAGAATTTAAAAAGCAAAATCAAGAAATGAAGGAAAAACTTGAAAACCAATCTAAGAAATTCGATAAAAAACTCGATTTAATTTTAAGTAAATTAGATTAAATACAAGAATAAATATTCGCATGCGGAATTTGTTCTAACATGTTAACGAATTTCTCTTTTATTGGAAAATAAAATTTTATTACTTATACCTGAAGAGGTATGACAATAAATTCTGCGTGATTGCCATTAGTTCAAATAATGTTTCATACTCTCATCAACAGACGTATGAATTATTCGATATCAGTCAAGCACACATAGCACCACCTGCTATATCAGTCACTGATTCACCTTCATTTTCTCCATATTTTGCAAACTCTGGAGCGGTGATAACGCAGGAGATTATAAAACCATTAGTTATATGAATCTAAAGTTGTCAAGTTTATTAGAATAATTCAGTAAGCAATATAAGCATGCCACATGCATGTCCATAATGTATAAATAGTTTTGAATCTGTTGTGAAAAGTTGTTAGGTTTACTTTATTTTATTTATTTTTTTGAGATTTGCCATTTATCACCACTGGTGATCATCACCAATGTATAATATAAAATAAAATTTTCTAACAAAACTACTTTGGGGTTCTAATAAAAAAAATTCTCCGTGAAATTCTGAGTATAACCTTTCCTTTCTTCTGATTAAACTTTTAAACCTTACCCTAAATATTAAAAAAATCAATTCTAGCTTTGATGAAAATTTAAATTTAAATATTGTAAATCACCGGTGATGATCACCAGTGGCGAAACGAAGTTATCTATTTTTTTAAATTCATAATTATATTTAATCACGAAATTTATTAATTTACATATTTTTTTCTTTTTTTTTACAAATTAGCTTTTTTCGATTCTTCACTAATTTCTGAATCAGAAAAAAACGAAATAATTAAAACGCTTCAAACTCTTTCGCATCTTTGATCAGGGCGATTCATGATTTTGAATGATCCGTTACAAGATAATGATTCCACGAATAATCACTCTAATGTTGCAAATGTCAAAAATCAAGATCCACGAGATGCAATTGCTAAAATGTTGGTCCACAATTAAGGGATGCAGTTTCGTTGGCTGCAGTAAAGGAGTGTGCCTGAAGAATCTATTATTTTTTTTTATATATTAAAATTGTTGAACTTTCACGTGGGTGTAACGTTTAGTTTACCATATATAAATAATTTTTAAATCGTGTAACGATAATACTGATACAGATATAGCAACGGGATTAGTGATCAACTAAAATTTAGGATAGGGTCAGAATAATCCTGGTGCTAGCATTAAGCAACAATACCAGCCCTGAAAATTATCATCTGACTAACCTTACTTAGTACGTGGGCTACCAATTTATTAGTAAATTTTGGGAAAAATTATCAATTTCCAGCCTATTTCGACCCTATTGCGGACTTAAGATTATTAATTTTGACTAACATTAATCTTAGAACAGTAGACTGTACGATCAAAGATTTTCGGCAATTTACGAGAAATTATGGCATATCAGTTTAGTATAAGCTCAAATTAAAAGCTATACTATACTGATCAGCAATAATAACTGTAATATATATTCTTTATCTTCATCAGTTATAGAACATACTTCATCGCTAAACCACTGGCTGCCCATATGTTACATTTTATTTTCATCGTATTTATGTTATGTATTGTATATATGTTACGGGCCAAATTGATTTTTAGGTCAAGTTAAACTTGACCCAGATCAAATTAATCAATTAAAAAACCTTGCCCGGTATTTAATCCTTAAATTCTATTAGTGGTCATTTTTGACCTGGGTCAAGTTTAACTTGCCCTAAAAACCAATTTGATCTGTAAAATATGTAGTTAATTATAAGCGACGGGTAACATCAAGTCTATTATATTAAAATTGGTCATTTCACGTAAGGGTAACGCTTAGATTACCCCGTATAAATAAATGTACGTAACGATGTCACGTTGATTTTCTACCATTTGTGATTCGTGTACCTTCATATCACGTTGCAGTTATCACGTTGATGTTCTGACGATAAAACATAATGGGTACCCTTATGTCAAGAATAGGGCTGTAAACCAAACTATTTGGGACGACCCAAACTATGTGACAATTAGTTTCACATGGGTTTGACAATAAGTAAGAAGTTGTAAATACCTAGTGCGATACTAATTGTCATTTGGTTTGGGCCATCCCAAATAGTTTGGTTTACAGCCCTAGTCAAGAAAATCCCGGGCTGAAGATCGCTGAAGATCACTTCCGATCCTATCCGGATCCAATAAAATCACAGGATATCGTGTAACAAAACAAATGTGAAAAACATAAGAAATTGTAAAAAAACGTAAATAACACAAAAATATACTATGATAACTAACTTCTGACCTCTAAGTAAAAGTTTTTAGAATGAAATTTTACTTGTAAAACATGATTATTAATGTTGGATATATAGTGAATTTTTGATATACTATGATCATATCTTTTTGGTTAACAGCTTAAAATTTTTATGATATAAGGAAATTTCTCTTGTGGGATGATACAATGCCTGAAAGTGGATCACTAAAAATTTTATAGATAAGATATGTATGATAATCTTTTTTTTAACAATTTTTTTTTATATATGATATTGGTTTCATGAAAATTGTTTTTTTTTAAAAGTACAACTATTGTTTTTTTTAATAATAAAAAAAAAACCTTTTTACAAAAAGCTTTGTCAAAATCAATGAAGTTGTATTATCAGTACTTATCTGTGTGGTTTTAAGCTATTTTATATTTTTCAAGCTTTTAGTTTTTCTTAGTCAATAATGTATAACACTATTAAATGGTATGAAGAAACAAATTCAAAACACCTAAACAAATGTTCTAACTTCTGTAAAGTTCTTTCTAAGTATAATAAATATGCTTTAGTTTATATTGCAAATACAAATCATAAAACATCACTGACTGTTATCACTAATAAGCTTAATCTTAAGCTTGAAACAATACTTATCAAAAAAACCATCCAAAAGTATCTTTATGACTTAAATTAGAAAAACTATGTAACTTGCAAAAAATATTTTTTGAATGAAAAAAAAGTATAGAATAAAAAAAGTAATATCATGAATATTTAAAATAGACTAACAAATGGTAAATAGTTGTTTTTTTTAATAAATTAAAATTTTGTTTTTACAAATTAGATAGTTATGCAAGAATTTGGTGTTAATAAAAAATATCATTAAGATTATATAAATCCAACTGTAAAGTTTGATAGTAGTTTTGTAATGTTTTGAAATTGTTTTTTTTAGTAGAAAGTGAACTATTAGTAAAAGTAAAAGTTAATATTAATTAAGATAGTTATATTAATATACTTGTGAATTATTTTATTTTTTGTACAAATTTTTTGTTAAAGAAATATTCAAATGAAATAGAATTAATATTCTAATAATATTTGTCTTCTGTTTATATGTCAGATTATTTAGAATAGTGAACAAAATTACATAACTTCAATATATTAGATTAGATACTCTGTAGTCTTAACATGAATCTTATTGAAAATCTTTAGAAATATCTTGATTCAGCGGTGCATAGCAAAAGTTCAATACCTAAAAAGCAAGAAAAATTAATTGAATATATAAAAAAAAATAGAATAAGATGTTAATTGAATATTTTTATTCACTTATCTATAGTATGCCAGGTCAAATGATGGCAATTTATAAAGCTGATAGATAGCATTTGAAATATTAAAACTTGCAGTTTTTTTTTTAAAATATAATTCTAAAATAGTAATTTTTATTTTATATAATTAATATAATTATATTGTATAAATATATTAATAAAGATTACATATAAATTTAGCTCCTAAGTATTTTATATAAAATTTCTAGTAATCCACTTCCAGGCACTGTATATACATATTGTAAATCTTTAATTTTTAATTAGAAAATTTATTTTTATTATAACAGAAAATGCAATAATTTCTAAATTACTTATAGTTATAAATAAATATTAAGTCTATCATATAACATAAAAATTTAATTTTTTTTATATTTTATTTAATTATTATCAATTAAAAACTTATATTTTTACTAACTATAGCTTATCATTATCTTTCTTACAAGAGTTTTATTTTATCATTATGTAAAATAGTCAATTACATACATATAACAATATAATAATAATGTATATATATATATAGTTAATAAATAAAATAGCTGAGCCAGAATCTGGATGACCAGTCCAGAGCCTTAAATCGATTTATTTGTAAAGAAAATAATTAATTCTAAATAAAAATTTATACTTAATTTATATTTAAATACTGTATATATGCAAAATAATATTTTGAAATGTTATTTTAGAGAAATAGTAGTGTTTTTAGCTGATATTATGTTAGGCATGTAGAAATATTTTGACTTTTGACATTTAGTATACTGAAATTCTAAATAATGTCAAATCCTAATGTCATGTCAAAATTCTAAACTAAGCCACTTCTTATCAAAAAATCCTGTATTTTTTAAGAATAAAAATACAAGTATCTATATTAGTATTGTCAATTTTTTGTTCTATTAATAAAAACTATATTTTATTCTAATTTCTATTGCTCTATTTTATTGTTTTATTGTTATATTTATTTATTGCTATATTAATATCTAATTATAATCTTGTTGCTATTTTTTTTTATTGACAAGAATTTTATTCTATTTTAAATTCTATTGCTCTTTTCTGTTCAATTGTTCTATTTATTTATTGCTATATATATTAATATCTAATTATAATCTTGTTATCAATTTTTTTGTTCTATTGACAAAAATTTTTTCTATTTTAAATTTTATTGTTCTATTGTTTTATTTATTTATTGCTATCAATACTGATTTATATAATTTAAAATTTACTAATAACACATCTTCTAAGACTTTAATAAAAAAAATCTATAAAATTCTAATATAAATTATACTCTAATCTAAACTTTAAATATTAACTTTAATATTTAATTTTAAGCAAATTAATTTTTGTTTTTTCAATTTTGTGTTATGCAAATTTACAAATTATACTAATATATATTTAAAAATTTATTTTATTTTTTTTATAATATTAATTTTTAAATATTTTATTAATTAATATTAGATTAATACATAATAGTTTTTACAATATATTTATGTTACTATATTATTATATAAACATCTTTTTTTTTTTTTTAACTATCCCCGATGTATTACATCGTGGGGCGCGTGTGGCGCTCTAATTTTCTTTATTAAC